TGATGAAGACAGACAGAAAGTCCTGCCCCTGCCCACCCACCCCCGGAGCTGACAGTCTGGGAGGAGAGACACACAGAAAGTCAGTAAAGTGAGAATCCTGATGGAGGATGAGGATGAGGTGAGAGAGAATGGAGGGTGGTCAGGGAAGGCTTCTTAGAGGAGGTGATATTTGAATGGGGATCTGAATGGTAAGAAGTAGCCAGTCGTGGGAAGAAAGGAAAATATGGAGGAAGAGCACTCCAGGCAGAGGGAGTAGCCCATGCAAAGGCCCTGGGGCACAACCACGGCTGCTGTGTTGGAGAAAGAGCAAGGAGGCCCTTGTGGCTGGAGCAGAGTGAGTGAGGGAGAGAGAAGAAGGAGGGGAATTGGACAGAGGACAGCTTACACATGCTTTGCAGACCACAGGATGGGAGTGGGGGCAGGGGTGGGGAAGGGGAACAGTTTGCTTTTTAATCTAAGTAATGGTCCAATTTAATTTTTTTAAATTTTTTTTATTTATTTATGATAGAGAGAGAGAGAGAGAGAGAGAGAGAGAGGCAGAGACACAGGGAGAGGGAGAAGCAGGCTCCATGCACCGGGAGCCCGATGTGGGATTCGATCCCGGGTCTCCAGGATCGCGCCCTGGGCCAAAGGCAGGCGCCAAACCGCTGCGCCACCCAGGGATCCCCAATTTAATTTTTTAAAATTTATTTTATTTATTTCAGACAGAGAGAAAGAGCATGCCAGCAGGGGGAGGCGCAGAGGAAGAGAGAATTCCAAACAGACCCCTCGCTAAGCGGGGAGCCCCTACCCAGGGCTCCATCTCACAATCTCATGACCTATGAGATCATGACCTGAGCTAAAATCAAGAGTCGGACGCTCAACCAACTAAGCCACCCAGGCGCCCCACACTCCCATTTAAGTTTTAAAAAGATGACCCTGACTGCTGCGGTAAGAATGGACTGTGGGGTCAGGGGGTCCAGGTGGCTGGGAGTAGCAGGACCTGGATCCTGGAAAAAAGCGGTCAGAATATGAATATATTTTGAACATTGCCCCCAGAAGAGCTGCGTGGACTTACACTGAGAGACGGAAAGAGGGTTTTAGCCTCAGGGACCCTGTGAATGGCAGTGGCTTTTTGGCCAAGACAGAGGACCCTGACGGAGAAGCAGGGCTGGAGTAGGAGAGTTTGCTTTGGGTCATGAGAAGTCTGAGGTCAGAGCCCCCAGAAGGGGTGCATTTGGATCAAGTTCCTGGCCTTTGAGGTGCCACTGCCATTGATGCTAGAGAGATGAGATCCAGGGAGGAGTGTTCTGGGCAGAGGGAACAGCAGGTGCAAGGGCCTGGGGGTGGTATCAAATTTGGTGTGCTGGGAAAGAGAGAGAGAAGATGGAAGGAAGGAAGGAAGGAAGGAAGGAAGGAAGGAAGGAAGGAAGGAAGGAAGGGAGGGAGGGAGGGAGGGAGGGAGGGAGGGAGGGAGGGAGGAAGGAAGGAAGGAAGAAAGAAAGAAAAGCTGGCAGGCTGGACAAGGGGGAGAAAGCGAATGTGGCAGAGGGTGAAGATGAGAGAGGCCAGCGTGGCCAGCTCACACCAGTTGGGTGTGTAGGTCGTGGTGTGAGATTCACCCTAGGGACCCACTCTGAGGATCCTGCTAGAACCTTTCAACCCTCGTGAGGTTCTGAGTACCAGAGAGAAACAGGCCCTACCTAGCAGAGCAGAGAGAGGTTTCCAGGGGCTCCAAGCCCGGGGCAGGCTGCTGGGGTGATGGACAACAGGAGGGAGGACAGAGGGGAGGGGGGCCCAAGACTCACCCCAGAACTGCACCAGGGGGACCAGCGCTGTGCCCAGGGACTCCATTCCTGGCCCACCAGGCCCCCTGTCCTGTCTGGTCCGCCCCCCCAACCCCCCTCCTATATGACAGACATCCTGCCACAATCTCCCCACACACACACGCCCACCACCACAGAGGCCGGACAGCAGATGGCCTGTAAACTAATGCTGCTCAGGGTTCTGCTTCCCAAAAGATTTTTTTTAATTTTTATTTATTTATGATAGGCACACAGTGAGAGAGAGAGAGGCAGAGACACAGGCAGAGGGAGAAGCAGGCTCCATGCACCGGGAGCCCGACGTGGGATTCGATCCCGGGTCTCCAGGATCGCGCCCTGGGCCAAAGGCAGGCGCCAAACCGCTGCGCCACCCAGGGATCCCCCAAGATTTTTTGTTTTTAATCTGAAGGGCAGTTTGTGTATGTGATTGGGATAATGCGTCCCACCCCAGCGAGTGGAAATCTTTCTGGGAGGTTCTATATAAACACACCTGAGCTGGGGTGGGAGGGGGCAGGTCGGAAGGTTAGGTGATGCAGGTGTGGGGCCCAGGAGCGGGCAGCAGAGGCCTGAGCTTGGATTGAAGACTGGGATCCCAGCTTCAATTATTTGGCCCCCAGTGGTTGAGCAGCTACCTTCGGCTCAGGGCATGACCCTGCGGTCCCGGGATCGAGTCCCACGTCGGGCTCCCCACAGGGAGCCTGCTTCTCCCTCTGCCTGTGTCTCTGCCTCTCTTGGTGTGTCTCTCATGAATAAATAAATTAAATCTTAAAAAAAAATGAAATTCAGAGTAGATTTTTGCTGACGGCTTCAGGTCTCATGACAGGTATGGGGGGTTCCCCTGTCCCCAGAGCCTGCAGAGAAGTTTGGGGGCCTAAGCCAGGGTATACATAGGCTCTGAATTTCTCCCAGCCCTGCATCTGTTACCCCGGGGCTGGGAGGAGATGACGGACTCTAGGTGTCACCCCAACCACGGTGCCAGGACCTCTTTTCTCACCCAGGAAGAAGGCCTATGGGCTCCCCAGCATCGTTCCCATCAACCACAGGATGGCCGGCCGGGCACTGAGCACACCCCAGCCCAGGGACACACAGCTTCCCCGCCTCCCCTGTCCAGGCCACCGCCTCCCTTGGACTTTCTCAAACTCCGCCCTTTCCCCACCCTCCGCCGAGAGGCAATGCTGAGGATCCTGGATAGATCCTGGATAGATCTGGCCGCAGGCTGGATCCTGGATAGATCTACCCCAGGCTGACAGGGAAGACCAAGCTGGGCACAGGCATTCAGAGCCCCGTGGATTCCGGTCGGGCAGCGAGGCGTCTGGAGGAGGAGACCTGAGAGGTTGTGCCTTGGGGAGAGAAAGGAGGCATCGGATGCCCGGCATCTGCTTGTGCAAAATGTAAATGCCAGGAGTAAACGCAAGGAGTGTGAGTGGTGAGGGGCCAGATCTCACGGGGGTGGGGTGGGGGTAGAGGGTGGAATTCCAGCCTTGGGAGCAGCCAAGGAACGGCAGGGGTGCAAGAGTGGAGGGGCTTGGGCACCACAACTAGGTTTGGGTTGGAGGCCGGGCGGCAGGGCCGGGGCTCGAACCCAGGCAACCTGCTTCTCAGCTCCGGGCTCTCGGCAGCTCACTCATCACTACCAGCCTCTCGGGGGGCGGCGGGGCGCGGAGACCCCGGCGCGGGACTACAATTCCCAGCATGCCGCGGGTGGCGCGCGTGCGCACTGCGGCCAGTGATGGAGCGCTGACGGGGGGCGCGGCGGCGGCGGCGAGGGCTCGGCGGGCCATTGGCTCGTGGTCGCGGCGAAGGCAGCTTGAGGACTCGGAGGGCGAGCGGGGCCCGCGGGCCGGGCCGGGCCGACCTGGGCTGCAGCCATGGAGGACCAGAGGGTAGGAGCGGGGCGGGGCGGGGCGGGCCCGGGGCGGGGGGGGCGCAAGGGGGAGGCGACCAGGTGATGCCGCAGCCCCCCCACCCCCGCCGCAGCTTTGCTGCCGAGGCCCCACCCCCGCCGCAACCACGCGGGGATCCAGCCCCTAATTCGGGACGCAGAACCCCCCCCCCCGGTTGCCCCGACCTCTCATCATCTTGGCCCGGGCCCTGGCGCATCCCCTCCATGCTCCCCACACGCGCCCAGTAACCCGGCGCCAGCCGCGACCCATCCCCCACTCCTTCCATCGGGACTGCGGACCAGGTGTCGGGACCCTGCCCCACCCTGCCCCGGAGGACGTCCCTCCAGCTCAGCAAGGTGTTCCCACCGATCCTGCACCCCCAGGAAAGGGACACGTCCGGGGCCTGGGTCAGGGTTGGGGCCCCAGCAGGATCCTCCCACGCGGCTTCCTTCTCTCCAGGCGTCCCCTCCCCCAGAGGTCCCTCCCCCACTCACTTACCTGGGCTCTCAGGCACCGGTTCCCCAGGTTCCTCCTTTCTTCTGGCCAATCCCTGTTCCCAAGGTATCCCCTTCCCCGCGTTAGCAACCCCCTTTTCTACAGGCATCATTTTGCTCTGGGGTTTTCTTTCCCCAAGGTAGCCCCTCACCCCAGATCATGCCCCGCCCTCAGTGTATAGGAACAAGGTCGAAGGCTTTGTGTTGAGGCAGCGCTGGCTCAGGCCCAGGGGCTGCCCCTTCCCCAGAGGCTCAGTCGTGCCCCCCCCCCCCCCCCGTAAAATGGGCATGCTTGCAGCAGGTATCTGCTAGGTGAGGGAAGGTAGGGCCAGAGCCTCGCCCAGGACCTGCCTCGTGGTGGGTGCCCGAGCTCACTGGGGCGCTGGCTTCCACATCTCCTGGATCCCCGGAAGGGAGAGCAGGGAACCCCAGGTGGGGGAGCTGGGCCCGGCCGAGGGGCTCACCGGCCCTGCCTCTGTACGTGCTTCCCGTGGGGCAGGAGGCGCTGCGGAAGATCATCACGACCCTGGCTGTGAAGAACGAAGAGATTCAGAGCTTCATCTACTCCCTCAAGCAGATGCTGCTGAACGTGGAGGTGAGGAAGGCACCTCCACAGAAGGGATGGAAGGCCGTGGGGAAGTCTTGGACAGGTGGGTGGAAGGGACAGTGGGAGGGGGCAGTGAGAGGGTTAGCCTGTTCCTGCTGATGCCCGTCAGACTTGGCCTGGGGACCGAGTCCAGGTCTCAGTTTCTCCATCCAAGTGAGCACGGGGTTTGGCCAATCCTGGCCCTTCTGACCACATGACATCTCTCCAAGGCAAACTCCACCAAGGTGCAGGAGGACCTGGAGGCAGAGTTCCAGTCCCTCTTCTCCCTCCTGGAGGAGCTGAAGGAGGGCATGCTCATGAAGATAAAGCAGGACCGCGCCAGCCGCACCTACGAGCTACAGGTGTGTGTGTGTGAGGGGCTCTCCCACACCCCCACCCAGCCATGATTCCCCACTGCACCCCTCAGACTCAGCAGAGCCCATCTGGCCTCAGCGTCTTCCTCCAAACCTGCTCCTCCCCCCACATCGCTCCTTGGAGATGCCTGCAAGTGTCTGCAGTGTCCAGAACCAGACACCCCAGTGCCATTGGCCTCATCTCCTCTTTTTCCTGGTCTCTTCTCTGCCCCCTCACTGGCTGTGATCCATCAGTCCCCACCCACCTGCTCTCCTTGATCTCTATTCCTACCACCCACCTCCACCGCCTCTTCCCTGTCCCCAGGGCCCCACCCCCGCATCTGGCTGCTCCTCCCCTCCAGTCCTCACCCAGGGCCTCCAGTTTCTCAGCCCTTCCCACTGGTCCCTGTATCTGGCAGCATCATCTCTTGCCAACCCCCCCACCCCCATGGCTCCTGTGGGATCTCAGATTCTAAATGCACCCTGGGGCTGCATCAAAACCTCCTGGACCACTTTCTAGCATCCCAGATTCCCATCCCAGGAGAATTGGGGGCCTCGAGGCTCAGGTGTGGCCCGGACATGTGAGTTTTTAAGAAAGGGATCCCCAGGTGATTCTGAAGTACTGCGGGGGTGGGGGGTGAGGCCCAATTTCCCTCCACCCTACCTCCCCCACTGGGAGTTGGAGAAAGGCCTGGTGTCCTGAATCCCAAAGGCAGTGGGGAGGCCCGGAGGGTTTGATGCAGTGGGGTGAGGTGTCTCTTCCTTTGGTGCCGTGCTACTCCCAGAACCAGCTGGCGGCCTGCACTCGGGCCCTGGAGAGCTCAGAGGAGCTTCTGGAGACAGCCAACCAGACCCTGCAGGCCACAGACAGCGAGGACTTCCCTCAGGTGGGCACCTCAGAAGCCAGACTAGTAGGGCCATGCGATAAAATACAGGACACCCAGTTAAATTTGCATTTTAGATCGACCACAAGTGATTTTTAAGTGTAAGTATTGCCCGTATGACATTTAATATAAATATGTCCCAAAGATCACATGAGACAAACTTACACTAAAAAATTAGTTGCGGTTGATCTGAAAGTTAAATTTAACAATGAATAATTTGTTTAGTATGAGTATATCCCATGCAGATGTTTAGTATAAGTATTTCCAGATGTTGCATGGAACATATTTGTACTAAAATATTTGTTAGGTATCTGAAATTCAAATATAACAAAGAATAATTTTTAAAAATATTTTATTTATGTATTTTGAGAGAGGAAGCAAGAGAGCAGGGGGAGGAGCAGAGGGAGAGGGACAAGCAGACTCCATGCTGAGCATCGAGCCAATGTGGGGCTCGATCCACAACCCCACAACGTGGGGCTCATATCATGACACGAGCTGAAACCAAGAGTTGGATGCTCAACTGACTGAGCCATCCAGGCGTCCCCAAAAGGGAATAGTTTTTTAGTATACTACATCCATGCAATATTTAGAGTGGGACATAGTTATACCAAAAAATCATATTGTTTATCTGAAATGCAGATTTAACTGGGCATCCTCTATTTGTATTTGCCAAACTGGCTAACTGGATATAATGGGCACTAGGCACTGGGGGTGGAGGTATGAGCCCATCTTTGCCCCCAATCCCACTGGGGCCCAGCCAAGTGTTTCTGCCCCAGTGGTGGGAGACTTTGGCCAGGGGCTACCACTCTGGGTCTCAGTCTTCCTGTCTGTATAGTGGCTTTCTGATTCAATCAAGAAAACTCTTTGAATTTTATTATGTTGCTTTTTCTAGGCTGCCAAGCAAATCAAAGATGGGTAAGATGCTGGGATCTGGTTCCCACCCCAGTGCCCCGCCCCTGGTGTGAAGGTGGGGATACCCAGGTGAGGGTCTCTACGCCCAGAGCTCTGGACCAGAAACAGGGGGAGTGGGTCTCCCACATACTTCAGAGAACAGAGCCTGGGCCCCCTTGAGATGCCTGCCAGCAGGCTGCCTCCACCTTTTCCCTGCAGTGTGACAATGGCCCCTGCCTTCCGGCTATCATTGAAGGCCAAGGTCAGCGACAACATGAGTCACCTCATGGTGGACTTTGCACAGGAGCGGAGGATGCTACAGGCACTCAAGTTCCTACCAGGTGAGAAGGGAACTTTGTTGGGGCCTGGAGTCTGGGGTACCCTGAAAAAGGCCCGAGTAAGCCTGGCATTGGAACTGACCCTGGGGGTGGAGCCCTGAGGACAACCTGCCCCTGTGGGTGGAGCCATGAAGAAGCCCGCCCCTGGTGGCCAAACCTGAGAGGCCCCACCCACAAGGGGTGGAGTCCCACGAAGGCCAGACCCGATCAGAGAATTCTGAAAATATTCTGCCTCTAACTGGTGGAATCCTGAGAAAGCCCATCCTGTTGTTGGGTGAACCCTGAGAAAGCTGTTCCCTATCACCCCACCCTGGTGAGACCCTGGGAAGCTCCTTCCCCAGGCCCCGGTATCCGGAGGGGCCCCGCCCCCAAGAAGGCCTGTAGTGCAGGTGGAGTTGCAGTTAGGGGCCCCTGCAGGCCCAGGACCCTGACCCCCCCCACCCCCTCTGTCCTGGACAGTGCCCGGCGCCCCTGTGATTGACCTGGCCGAGTCCCTGGTGGCAGACAACTGTGTGACGTTGGTGTGGCGCATGCCGGATGAGGACAGCAAGATTGACCACTACGTGCTGGAGTACCGGCGGACCAACTTCGAGGGCCCGCCCCGCCTCAAGGAGGAGCAGCCCTGGATGGTCATTGAGGGCATCCGGCAGACGGAGTTCACCCTGACGGGTAAGGACAGCTCAACCCTGCCACTGACACACACCCCAAGCCCGGGGCAGCTCAGCAGTTCCAGGATCCCCTTTCCCCTTTCAGCTGGGGGCCTGGCTGAACTGACTGGAGTAGCTGAAAGTAATAATAATGAAATTGATATTGATGATCGCTGCTGCACCGCTCGTGGAGGGCGTAGCTTGCTGCGTGCTGAACATTTTGCCCACAGGCAGTGCACGTGCTCATCTCATCATCAGCATTTTACAGACGAGGGAACGGGCCGGGGAGAGAAGGCCTTCTCCGTCCCCGTCTTACCTGTAGGATCCAGCGCTCGTTCATTTCAGCGTATTGAGCGCCTTCAGTATACCAGGCCCTGCCCTGGCACTAGTGAGCAAAGCGGATGAGAATCCCTCTGCTCGTGAAGCTGGCATCCTCCCAGGGTGTGGGGATTTCCTTGGCAGTTGTAAGAAAGCAGAAAGCATGGGGGATTCCCCAGCCGGTGGGGGAGGGTCTGAAGAAGGGTAAAATTGGGGGTCCCCAATGAGTTTCAGAATCCATTTTGAGCCAAGGGAAACCCTGGGGGGGGGGGGAGCCTCACTGACAAGATAACGATCACCATAGCTCTTGGGCTGTAATCAGCCAGTTCTTTATCTGTAATTAGCATACATGGTTAATAATGAGCATGCTAATTGCTGGGAAGAAAAGCTACCAGCCGGCAAGAGGACCCATTCTTTGCATAGACATCAGAATAAACATACCCCACTTTTCCCACAATATATGTATTTTTATTATGGCAAAATACATATAACACAAAATTTGCCATTTTCATCATTTTTAAGTGTCCAGTTTGGTAGTAGTAAGTATATTCATAATGTTGTAAAACTATTAAAACTGTCATACCGTCCTCGTAACTTTCCGTCCTGCAAAATGGAAACTCTGTCCCCCTTAAACGCTAGCTCCCCAGCCCCCGGCTCTCACCATCTACTCCCTGTCCCTGTGACTTTTACTGCTTCTGGTACCTAATATGAGCAGAATCCGACAGGATTTGCTCTTTTGTGTCTGGCTCACTTCACTGAGCTCAGTGTCCCCGAGGGACATCCCTGTTGTAGTGCAGGCCAGGACTTTCCTCCTTTTTCGGGCTGAATAATGTTCCTGGGTTTTCGCCACTTGCAGTGGCTTCTGGGACTGGAGTTCAATGTCAGATCCGAGGAACCGACATGAACACGTTGTGCAGTGTCGGTCCGCATTTTCCCAGTGATACATACCTTCACCCGCCTGTGCGTGGGTAATCGCCTACGCGGTTTTCTCCCGCATGCAAACTCATGTAACCGCCACCGCGATCAAGGTGGAAGCCTGCTGTATCACGGGCTTCCTGACGCATCGCCCCCTCGCCATGCCCTCTTGCCTTCTACAACATTCCTAGCAAGTGAATTCCGCAGGGTAGGACATTGAATCCATCCAAAGGTGTGTCGTACCGAGGATGTGGATGCGTACACTCATCTAGCTAACTCACCCATGGGGTTATTTGTCACCTACCTGCCATCTCCATGGCTTGGACAGTCAGGAGGGTTTGGGTTTAGTGTTTATAACTGACATGCTTCGACCAATCTCATCCTCATGTGAACCCTGCTTAGGATGGGGAACACGATGGCCGGTTTGCAGAATAGGAAACTGAGACCCACTGTGAGTCCAGACCATCCATAGTCAGATGGGTTCCAGGTTTCTGAAACAGAGTTCTGGTTGGTTCTGGGGGCAGTGGATGGTGTCACTGAGCAAAGTGCTGAACTCTCAGAGAAGGGGATCCAGAGAAGGGTGAGACAGTCTTGGGCACCAGGAGGAAGTGGCAGCCATCCTGAGGCCCGAAAGAGAAAGGGTGAGTGGAGAACAGCCTTCTAAGCAGAAGCACAGCCTGATCGAGGGCTCAGAGGCCAGAGCACTCTGAGCCTTTGTCTATGGAACCTGTTGAGTTTGCCACCTACATCTGTGGGGGGAAGTTAGAGGAGGAGTGGGGTCTTTACAAGGCAAGGGGAGCTATGGAAGGTTTTAGAACAGGGGGTGCTGAGTGCTCTTTGGATGATCAGAGAACGGGCATTCCATAGGGAACACTCAGGAGGAACCTGGACATGTGATCTGGGCTGTAGGTTAGGCTGGGTTCTCCTGTGGTTGAAGGGTATCTGAAGGGCAAGAAGGGGTCAGAGAGCAGAGGGAGATGAGTAAGGGCCCCAGATGGAGTCACCTTGACATTTAAGGGTGTCGAGGAGGGAGGAACCTGCAAAGAAGACCTGGGGAGAACAAACAGAGTGGGGCAGCCAGGAGATCGCAGTAACATGGCTGCCAAGGAAGGAGAATGTTCCAGAGGAAAGGAGTGGTCAGCCAGAAGGTCCTACAAGGTAGAAACTGACAAAGCCAGAGGAAGGAGAGGGAGCGAGGCAACCGAGAGGAGGTAAGGATATAGACAGCTGTCCAAAGAGGCTTAGCTTGAGGGGAAAGACAACAAAAGACACCTTGGTGATTTGATTGCTTTTTATTTTTATTTTTTAAAGATTTTATTTATTTATTCATGAGAGACAGAGAGAGGCAGACACAGGCAGAGGGAGAAGCAGGCTCCATGAAGGGATCCCGGGACCCCAGGATCACGCCCTGGGCTGAAGGCAGGTGTCAAACCGCTGAGCCACCCAGGTGTCCCTGCTTTTTATTTTTTAAGACTGGGAGAAACTCGGGATCCCTGGGTGGCTACAGCGGTTTGGCGCCTGCCTTTGGCCCAGGGTGCAGTCCTGGAGACCCGGGATCGAATCCCACGTCGGGCTTCTGGTGCATGGAGCCTGCTTCTCCCTCTGCCTGTGTCTCTGCCTCTCTCTCTCTCTCTCTATTATAAATAAATCAAAATTAAAAAAAAAAAAAGACTGGGAGAAACTAATACAGAAAGGAGGACAGAAGGGAGTAAGGGACATAGCCTAGAAGTAGGTGAAATCTTTAAATAACCCCACATGGAGCCAGGGTTCCAGCAAATGCCTTGCTCACTTTTGCTCCCTGCATTTGTTGGGTCTGGGGGCTGCGTTCTGAAGGAGGCTTGTCAAATGCGCTGATAAACTTTCCCAAGAGTAGCTTCCCCCTAGCTGGCCAGCCCAGAGAAGACAGAGACTCTGCTCCCTATAATACAAGCCCAGTGTCCCAGGGAAGGTTCTTATTGGCCAGTTTGGGTCACATGCTATTCCTGAACCAATTGCTGTTACTGCCTCCTAAAGCATCCTGATTGGCTGGTCCGGGTTGAAGGCGAGGCCAAGTAACCCACAGTCCCACGGTGAATGAGGTGGTTTCTCAGGGATAAGAGGCCATTTGCCAGGTGCTCCTTAGAATGAGGAGTGGCGGGATTGCCATGGGACACAGGGACCGTGGCCTATTGCTCCCTGCGTACACAACATTGAGATCCCTCTGTTGCTCCTAGGTCTCAAGTTTGACATGAAATACATGAACTTTCGTGTGAAAGCCTGTAACAAGGCAGTTGCAGGCGAGTTCTCCGAGTCGGTGACCCTGGAGACACCAGGTGACTGGCTCCCACCCCTACCCTGGCTGTGACTCCATAACCCCTCACCCTGGGGCCCCAGGTACTGGTGTGTAATGAATCTTATAATCAGGGTTCTGTGACCCTTTTTGCTCTGGCTGCCAGGAAGCTCAGAGCTTGGTCCACCATAGATTCGTCAGCCTGGCTGTCTAATATAAACCTGCTGTTGTTTTTTGCTTTTGCAGTTGATCCCATTTTTCCTGGATGGTTTTATACTCTTTCTCTTTCTCTCTCTCTCTTGCACACACACACACTCGTTCTCTCTTCTAAAAAAATAGATAAAGGTTCTTAGAGATGGGGATGGGATGTAACACCTCTGCGTGCCCTTCGAGGAAGTCCTTCTGCAGTCTAGCTTCCCTGTGGTCCTATTGCCCGGCTCCTTTCCTGCAGTTAAGCCCCAACAGAAGCCCAGAGCACAAGTGCTTTGGATAAGCCTGCAGACCTAAGGGACCTTGAGGCCACGAGCCCTCGGCCTTCACGGCCCCGACTGCAGGCTCTGCCCCTTCTGCTCTTGCCCATCTGTCTGTCTGTCTGGGTGTCTTGCTGCCTGTCCTCTCTGTATCTTCTGCCTCTGAGTCCGTCTGTCAATCCCTCTCCCTCCGTCTTTCTGTCTTAGGCCCTGTCGTCTGGTTTCTGTTCTCTGTCCCTGTCATGGTCTGTCTTGGTCACTGCCTGTCTCTCTGTGTCTCTGTGTCTCTCCGGGTTTCCCCATCTCTGTGACTCCCGCGTCTGCCCGGCCCCAGCGTTCATGTTCCGCCTGGATGCGTCCACATCTCACCAGAACCTGCGGGTGGACGATCTCTCCGTGGAGTGGGACGCCATGGGCGGGAAGGTGCAGGACATGAAGACTCGGGAGAAGGATGGCAAGGGGCGGACGGCGTCTCCTGTCAACTCTCCGGCCAGGTAGGACCCCCCCTCTGCCCCAGCCCAGCCGCCCTCCTGAGTGTCTGGGGGACAAGCGGGCTGGGCAGGGTGGCCTGTGTGGTCAAGGCTGGGGTGGAAGGAGGGACGCGGGGTGGAGGAGCTCAAAGAGTAAATGGAGGGAGAAGAGGTTTGGAACTGGTTTTTTTTGTTTTTGTTTTTGATTTTTTTTTTTTAAGATTTTATTTATTTATTCACAAGAGACACAGAGAGAGAGGCAGAGACATAGGCAGAGGGAGAAGCAGGCTCCCTGCGGGGAACCCGATGCGGGACTCGGGACTCGATCCCAGGACCCAGGGGTCACCCCTGAGCTGAAGGCAGATGCTCAACCGCTGAGCCACCAGGCGTCCCTATAACTGGGTTTTGACAGTCGAATCGTTTTCCAGATGAGGAAGGGCACGGGTGTGTTCTGATAGGCGGGGCCCAGTGCATGAACAGAACCAAATCCTGTGAAGGATTGATGGAGGGATCTCGGTGGCTGGGTGGACCAGGGAAACCCTCCTCTGGGGGCAGCGAGGGCTGAGCCAGCCTTCCCCTCCCTGCCGCTCACAGAGGTGTGCCATCCCCCAAGAGGATGCCCTCCGGTCGTGGGGGTCGGGATCGCTTCACAGCTGAGTCCTACACGGTGCTGGGTAAGGAGGGGCAAGGACAGGAGGACAGAGGGACACTCTGGGCAGGGCCCTGGTGGTGGGAGGTGGGCGAGAACTCCCCTGGCTGGGGAAACTGAGGTAGCCACCAACAAAGCTCTCTGGGAATGGTTCCAATAACCTGTTGCTGTGGTGCTGGGGGAGTGGGAGGACTGGGGCGTGTGGGCCTCCTGGGGTTGGAGAGAGCTTTTGGAGGCTCTGGCCTGCAGATCGGCCAGGGGCTGTCCTGGGGTTTGTGGAGTACCTGGAATTTGCAAAGTAGCTGGGAAGAACGGTTGCCAACACAGGTGATGGGTTTATGGATGAGCCAGAGAGAGTTGCCGGTGTGGGAGACAGCGAGCACTGGGGTGAAGGAGAGGCTGGGGCATGGGGAAGTCAATACGGACACTCGCACCTGGGAGGGGGCGGAGTTGGAGAGCAGCTGTGTTCTGGAGATGAGCTAAGGTCTGGGGAGAAGTTGAGGTTCTGTGGAGGACCCGGATTTTCTGGAAAGCATCTGGGATTGGCTAGAGGTGGGGTTCGGGGAGGAAGCAGGGCAAGGGGCGGTGGTAGTGGTGGTGGTGGTGGTGGTGGGGTTTGTAGAGGGAAGAGCCCAGCCTAGCTGCGATTGAGGGAGTAGCTGATGTCTGGGAGGGGCAGGCCCAGAGAAGACATGGGTGTGAGGGGCTAGCCCTGTGCCTGCAGAGGAGCTGACGCAGTAGATGGGCAAGGGCAGTGGGGTGAGAGGGGGCAGGAGCGTGCAGAGAAGCTGAAGCTCGGGAGTTGCTGGGTCAGGGAGTAGCTGAGCTGGCAAGAATCTAAATCTGGACTTGGGAGAATGTGCACTCAGGGGTTAGCTGAGATCCAGAGGGCATCTGAACCCTGGGAAGAGCTGAGACCCAGAAGACGTTGGCTTCCACCAGGAGCCAGGGGTCTGGGCACAATCTAGATTCACAAAGCAGTAGGAAAGAGGCCCAGAGTGCCAGGGAGTATCCGCACTCCGTAGGACATGAGGCCTGTGGGAATACTTGGAGTCGGCCAGGAGCAAGGGTCTGGGGATTGTCTAGCCTCTGGGATGAACTGAGGACTGGGGAGTATCTGAACATGGGGAAGAGTGGGAGACGTTTCTAAGGCCTGGAAGTATCTGGAAGGAGTAGCTTGGACTTGCAGAGAATCTGAAAAGATCAGTTGAGGCTTGAAGAGCATCTGGGCCGAGTATCTCGAGGAAGTGGATGCGGCCTGGGGACCACCTAGAAGGAGTAGCTAGGAACTGAGGAGTATCTGGAGGGAAGAGCTATGGTCTGAGGAGTATCTAGGTGACAATCCCTTTGTGGAAGGGCGTGTGGGACGCGAGTCCACCCGGTCCCCGCCGCCCACCTCACCCCACAGGGGACACACTCATCGACGGTGGGGAACATTACTGGGAGGTGCGCTATGAGCCAGACAGCAAGGCGTTCGGCGTGGGGGTGGCGTACCGCAGCCTGGGCCGCTTCGAGCAGCTGGGCAAGACGGCCGCGTCCTGGTGCCTGCACGTCAACAACTGGCTGCAGGTCAGCTTCACCGCCAAGCACGCCAACAAGGCCAAGGTGCTGGATGCCCCCGTGCCCGACTGTCTGGGCGTGCACTGCGACTTCCACCAAGGTGACCCCCGAGCCCTAGTCGGCATCCCTTGCCACCTCCCTGGGTCGGCTCTCTGCCGCAGACGCCTCTCATCAGGCCCCTCTGTCCCTCTGTCTCCACCCCAGGCCTCCTGTCCTTCTACAACGCCCGTACCAAACAGCTGCTGCACACCTTCAAGGCCAAGTTCACACAGCCCCTGCTGCCTGCTTTCACAGTGAGAGCCCTTTGGTGGCGGCGGGGTTGGGAGGGCTGGGGTGGGGGGGCCCTGGCTTTGCTCCTGAGCCCCCACGCTCCCCTCACTGGTCCGCAGGTGTGGTGTGGCAGCTTCCAGGTGACGACAGGCCTACAGGTTCCCAGCTCTGTGCGCTGCCTGCAGAAGCGGGGCAGTGCCACGAGCAGCTCCAACACCAGCCTCACTTAGGCCACTGGACTACCCCCGCCCTGTCCGGCTGATTTTGGGGAGGCCCTTCCCACCCCCAGGCCTTGGTTGTTTCAGCCGGCACCCTCTTCTCATTTGCTGCTTGGAGCCTTAACTCCTGATTGGGGGGGGTCACCAATGGGGAGTGGGCACCAGGGCAGGCCCTCGTCCCCTACCTCACCTCCTAATAAAGGTCAATCACTGGCCAGGCCGTGCTGATGGTTCTTTGGGGCTGGGTGGCACTGACTGTGCCCCGAACCTCTCTGGACCTCCACTTTCCTGGCTGTAAAATGGGCCTTTCTTGTAGGGTCAGGTGGTAGGTTTTGCTGAATGGGGCCTGCTGTGGGAGGACATCTGACAGTCCCTCGCTGCCCCCTCCCCACCCCAAGCCAGGCCAGACACATAGGCCTCAGGTCACTTGAGCTTTTATTCTGGGAGGAGCTGTCTGTCTGGCTGACTTGCACACCCCGAGACCGGCTCACTGATCCCCAGCACGTCCAGCTTAGTGCTCCAGCGCCCGCCTCCTCTGCAGTTTCTCTTCCAGCTCTGCCGTCAAATCTGCCAACCCTGGGTGAGGGCGGGGGGTGACCAAGGCCTCAGTTGCCGCAGGGAACCCCAGGCCAGGCTGTCCTCCCCACCCCACATCCACCAGAACCTGCTGCAGAATTTGCAGGGCCCAGTAAAAAGTAAAAACGAGGAATCTCGAGACAGCACGGCATTAGACCAAGCGAGGGACCCTTCAGAATGGGGGTCCCCTGTGATCGTGCAGGTCAGCCGCCTGTGAAGCCCGGACACCTCACCTGTTGTGGGGAATAAGGCCTGCACTGAGCCGACTGCCAGCTTCTTGGCCAGGCCACTGTTGACACCTTTGGGCTCTGGAGGAGAAGCAGGGGGAGGCTGAGGCTGGCTCTCGCCGGATGAGGAAGGGCTGGGGAGGAGGACCCCTACCTGGCTTGGGCGCGATGGGCGGCTTTAGAGACTTTGCCAGCTTCCTGGGCTTCGGGACAACCTGCCAGCTGGGGGAAGGCACTGCGTGGACAAAGGTGTGGTGTGTCACAGCTAGCTTTTAGCCTCTTCCCCACCCTGCCCCTGTCCCCGTGTCACCCACTCCCTCCCACCTACCATCCTCATTCTTGTAGTCAGCAGCTGGGACGTCTGCAATGGGGATCACGTAGTTCTCGTTCTGGTTCAGAAGTAGGGGTGGCTTGTCCTGGCTTGGCGGAGGTGTGATGGGCACGGGAGGCAGCTGCTTGCGGCCACCCGAGGCGGGTGCAGGCCCTGGTGGGAACCAGAAGTCACTGTCTGGGCCCACATGTTGCAGGGACACCTCAGCGTGGCTCTGTGTGCCTCTGAATGCGGATGCATGGATGCGCGCCTGGATCTGGGCACGGGACCCTGTGCATGTGTGTGTTTTTGCACGTGCCCATTTAGGAGTCAGTGTGTTTGTGCCCCTGTGTGGCATAAACACGTACGCTTGAGTGCATCTGCATAGTTGAATATATGTAAAGAGTTTGTACACACACACCCCTAAATGTGTGCGTACGTGCATGAGACTGTGTGGATGCTACAGTATGTCCGCAGCTGCTTGTCTCTGTCAGTGTGTTTACCCGCCTACCTATAAAGGTCTGAATCTATGCTCATGAGCATTTGTGTGTACACGTGGGCATGGCTTATGTTTGCTACACAGGACTGGAACTGGGTGGCACCCTTGTCCACGTGGGGGTCTACACATGAGTAGGTGGATGCAGTTCGTGTTCGCGAGTGTGCAGTGTGTAAGCGTGTACATACATGCCCACTGTGCACAAGGGTCCCCCAGCACCTGCCCAGCCCCGGGAGGCCCACACTGCTCACCCCATGGACCTTTCCAGCCTCTTCTTCCTGCCCCATGAACTGGACCGCCTCCCACCCCTTTCTCAGCAGCCACCCAGATGCCAGTCTCTGGGGGGTCCTTGCTCCAGATGAAGCCCAGCTCTACCTACTGAAATCGTTTGAGACCTTAAGCAAACACCCCCTCCTCCAGGAAGCCTTCCCCCTACTCTACCGCCACCTGCCCCAAGTCGAGGCAACCGCTGCCTTCAGCCCCAGGTTCAACTGCACAGGGCTGGGAGTCTGTGCAGCTGTTTCCCCCTCTACAACCCGCAGGGCAGGGTCTGGGTAATTTCTGGGTCCTTGCAACTCCGGGTACAAGATCAGACACGGGCGGCACCCTGTGGGTCGCAGGTGTCCCCCCACTCTGTCCCAGCGGCGGCCGCTGGCGGGGCCTCACCTGGGCCTGGGGCCACGGGGGCCGAGCTCGCCACCCACACACTCTCGCCGTTCTCTTTATCCGCCTCCACGTGGCCTAGAACAGAGAGTGGTCCTAGAGGAGGTGCGGCGGCTGGGCGTTGGCCCAGGGGTGCCCCGTGGGAGCAGGGGCCCCCCGGTTCCCTGAGGCCGCACCTAGCACCTTCTCGTAGTCCTCGTCCAGCCGGAAGGGCACCAGCCTCCTATTGCTGTTCGATACGAAATAGTTGACCACCGCATCCAGCGAGGCACACGAGAGCTGGAGGCGCACAGGGTCGCGGTCAGGGCCGTGGCGGAAGGGGCGCAGACCCCACCACTGAGCTTGGGGACCCCGGCCCAACGCTCACCGGATCCTCCACGTCGATCACGTATTTGGAGCCGTCACGCTTCACCTTGTAATGCCGGAACACCGGCGTCCTGCGCGGGCCGTGGTGAGTGGGTGGACCTGCTCGGCCGGGGAGGACCCCGCCCCTTGTCCTGGCTCCGCCCCCACCGAGGGCCTAACCTCTTCCTGCTCCCCGCACACTGACCACGTCCCGTCCTGGCGTGGCTCTCTGCGGAGGACAAGACTCAACTGGCTGCATCCTCCGGGAAGACCTAGCCACTGGTCCCGGCACTGCCCCCGGGGAGCTCCGGCCCTGATGGCTCCACCCCGGGAGGCCCCGCCTCCCTGCTGGCTCCGCCCCCAGGGTTCTGACCCCACCTTCAACTGGCGGGACCCCTCACCAGACCGTCCCAAAGGAGGCCGCAGTGCCAGGTTCCGATCCACGCCCAGAGTGGCTCCACCTCCAAAGCCTGATTCAACCGCGGCGGGGAGGGCGGGGCCAGGACTCCACCCACAGGTCCTAACTCCGCCCAAAGGGCGGGTTTCCGCCCCTGGATTTGATTTCTTCCCTGCTGCAGATGCCAGACCCAGCTCCGACTCCGCCCCGAGGGCCGATGCTAATCCAAAGGTCCTAATCCAAAGGTCTGCCTCGCCTCTAGAGTCTCGTCCCCGCTCCAGGCATCGACACCTTCCCGCCACCCCGGGCCCCGCCCCATGAGCTCTGGCCCCGCCCCGGCTCTGACTCCGCCCCCGCGCTCGCCCCTCCTCCCACCGCGGCGCCGGCGCCGCGCATGCGCACCCGTGGAGCGTCTGGCGTGTGGTGACCGACACGTCGTCTGCGCCGTCGCTGCTGGGCCGCAGCAGCAGGTTCCCGCACTCGGGGTAGCGCTCCAGGAGCAGCTGCGCCTCCAGCCGGCTCACCCTCAGGAAGCAGCTGGGGGGCCGCGTCCCTCACTCAGGGCAGGCCCCGCCCCCGTGTAGCCCCGCCCCCGAGCTCAGCCCCGCCCTCCCAGGAGCCCCGCCCCGATCTTAGCCCCGCCCCCGAGCCCAGCCCCACCCTCCCAGGAGCCCCGCCCCGAGCTCAGCCCCGCCCCTAGCCCCGCCCCCGAGCCCAGCCCCACCCTCCCAGGAGCCCCGCCCCGAGCTCAGCCCAGCCCCTAGCCCCGCCCCCGAGCTCAGCCCAGCCCCTGGCAGCTGGACCAGTCCCCGAGGACCCCATCCCCGCGCTCCGCTGGCGGCCCCGGCTCCCCACCACCCCCGCCCTCCCGTGGCACTCACGGGGGCACCTCGAGCGCTCGGCGGGCCTCCTCTTTGGCCAGGGCCTCGGCCATCATGTACAGGTGTCCGGGCAGCAGGGTCAGGTTGGACGGGACACGCAGCTGAGGGGCGAAGGGGCGCCCGAGGGCACCCAGCCGTCAGGGCACAAGCGGCTTGTGCCCGTGTCACACCTACGGGCAAGGTGGGGGCGGCATGCGGGCCGCGCCAGGATGGGAACCTGGGTCTGGGGGCCCCTGGAGCCGCCTTGCACCTTGGGGGGGGGCGGGGCAGAGAAGCTTTGGAGGGGACATGAAGACACTTGGGCGATGGGAGGGCAGATGAGACGGTAGAATGTAGGGTCTCAAACCCAGCGGCTGCAGGGGCCAGGCAGAGGCCCGATGACTGAAAGACAGATGGGAAATGTTGACCGAAAAACCCCAGGCTTTTAAGCACTGGCAGGTAACTTTCACATTTTTTGCATAAGATATCTGTGGGCTCCTCCACGCCAGAGAGGAGGCTGGCATGAGGGGTGTAGGATGGAGAGAGCAGGCAAGCCGTCCTACCTCGACCACCGTCAGGATGAAGCCTTTCCACAACTCCCGAGACTCCAGGCTCTCCACCTGGGGAGGGAAACAGAAACGGTCCATGTCGATGAACCTCACCCTATTCATCTGTGAAATGGGAATGAGGAATAGTAGTTGTTCCCAAGGTTAAATGAGTAAGGACAGATTAATTTAGGATGTCTGAAGGGAAGTCCTTGTGGGATGCTATTCTGCAATGTCACCGAATCAATGTTTATTTATTGTATCTATTCGTTTATTCTACATTGACTTTTTATTTATTTTTTTCAAATTTATTTATTCATGAGAGACACAGAGAGGCAGAGACACAGGCAGAGGGAGAAACAGGTTCCCTGCGGGGACTCCGATGTGGGACTCGATCGCAGGACCCCGGGGTTACGGCCTAAGCAGAAGGCAGACGTTCAACCACTGGAGCCACCCAGGTATCCCTATACGTTGACTTTTTCAAAGATTTTATTTATTTTTTAAAAGATTATTTATTTATTTATTTATTATTTATTTATTTATTTATTTATTTGAGAAAGAGAGAGAGCGCAAGGCACAAGCAGGGGAGAGGGAGAAGCAGCCTCCCCCTGAGCAGGGCTCGATCTCAGGACCCTGGGATCATGACCCAAGCTGAAGGCAGATGCTTCACCAAGTGAACCACCCAGGTGCCCCTATTTTATTTTGAGAGAGAGCGAGGGAGCGAGAGAGCGGGAGAAGCAGACTCGCCCACTGAGCCACGCTACATGGACATTTAAAGCAACGTAAATCTGATCGTGTGTCTCTTGTGCTCTCAACCCTCCCAGGACTCCCTCCTTCTTTGGAGTAAACGCCCACACAGAGGGCTGTGGGGTGCAGGCCTGCCCCCCACTCCCCCCTATCCTCCCTCCCCCTCCCCCTGTCTCCCCTGCCCTCACTCTGCTCCAGCCCCCCGGGCCTCCTCCCTGCTCCTGCAGCACACCAGGCCTCTGCTGCAGAGCCATTGCACAGGTGTCCACGTGGCTGACTCCCTCACGTCCTTCAGGTCCTAGGTAGGCCGTCCCTGGTCACCCTGTGTGACGCTGTAACCCCAACCCCCCTGTGTCCTTTCCCTAGCACCTGCCGCCAGCTGACACTCCAGACATTTCACACGTTTAGGTAGTTTGTTGTGTGCCTCCCGCCTCCACCCAGACTCTAAACTCCACAAGGGTGGGGAGTTTTAATTGTCTTTCTCACTGCTGTGCAACCAGGAGAGTGCCTGGCACACAGTAGGTGCTCGATCACGTGGGCTGAGAGGTCGTGGGAGGGCAGTGACCCATCCGCGGGCTCCAGGCTTGTTCTGGCTACTTTACCGGTGTTATCCCGTCCTGCAGTTGTAGGTGCAGAAAAGTTAAGTGACTCGCCCAGTGTCCCCAACCGAGCGGTAGACCCCATGTGAGATCACGCTGGTGTGTGTTAGTGGTGAGTGTGACAGGGAGGGGCAGGCCTACCTTGAACTTGATCTCTTGGTTCCAGAGGACCAGGTTGAAATAGATACCGGGGTCTCTGGGGCTTCCGCCGGGCACCTCATCGCTGAGCCTCACAAATGCTCCAAGGCCCAGCTTCTCCACGTGCTGGGGATCCAGAGGCAGGACCTGAGCGCGGGGCTTGCTGCTTCTCAGGCCCTCGGGCTTGGCGACACCCCCGCGCTCTCTGCTTGGTCCCTGCAGTCAGGTCTTGAGCCTCATGCCCATCCTTACCTGCGAGTCCCGATTGCTATTATAGAAATAGAGAGTGCAGCCCTGCAGGCCCGCCCAGAACTTCTTGTAATCCTGGGGACCAAAAGTAGAGGGCAGAAGGTGAGAAGGCAAGTCTGGGGACCTCCATGACACCCCCCTCCTGCCTCAGGACCTTTGCACTGGCTCTTCTTGCTGCCTGGGTACTCTTTCCCCGGACCTTCACACAGTTTCCTTCATCACCTGCTTTGGGACTTTGGACAAATGTTGCCTTCCCTGGGAGGCCCACCCCATCCGTGGCCCAGCTTCTGGGGATCCGTTAGTCATTATTCTTTGAGGAAGGACCCAAGAGAATTTTGATGGGATGGGAGATCCAGAGCCGCTTCCCTCTATACCCCTCTGAGGTATAGAGACGGAGCTTGGCACTGGTGGCTCAGTGGTTGCGTGTCTGCCTTAGGCTCAGGGCGTGATCCTGGGGTCCTGGGATCGGGTCCCACATCAGCCTCCCTGCAGGGAGCCTGCTTCTCCCCCTGCCTATGTCTCTGTCTCTTCTTGTGCATCTCTCATAAATATAAATAAATTAATTTAAAAAAAGGAGCTCGGGGATCCCTGGGTGGCGCAGCGGTTTGGCGCCTGCCTTTGGCCCAGGGCCCGATCCTGGAGACCCGGGATCGAATCCCACATCGATCCTGCCTCTCTCTCTGCCTGTGTCTCTGCCTCTCTCTCTCTCTCTCTCTCTCTCTCTCTCTGTGACTAGCATAAATAAATAAAAATTTAAAAAAAAGGAGCTCTAGGGGAAAGTTGAACTATCCACCCACCCACCTGTTTACTCATCTGCACATACTTACATCTCCCTTCTCCTTGCCCACCCCATAAATGTTTATAGGGATCTCCTAATTTCACAAGGTTCTGGACCCTTGAAATCCTGCAGATTCAGGTTTTCTCCCCCAGGATTCTGAATTTTTTTTTTTTTTTAGGATTCTGAATTATAAGTGTCCTAACTCTCTGGAGATCTCAGGGGCTGACATAGCTGAGATTGTAATATTCTAGGGGTTTTTCCCAGCAAATATTCCCTGAACGCCTACTCTGCACCCAATTGTGTTCCAGGCAAAATAATAAATGAGACGTGGCTTCTGTTTCTAAATAGATCATTTTCCAGAAGAACATAGAATATACAGTTACTAAAATCTGGGGGTGCCTGGGTGGCTCAGTTGGTGCAGCGTCCAACTCTTGGTTTTGGTTTGGGTCATGATCTTGGGGTCCCAAGATCAGGCCCTGTATAGGGCTCTATGCTCAGTGGGGCATTGGCTTGAGGCTTCTCCCTCCCTCCCTCTGCCTCTCCCCTCCCCCTGCTCATGTTCTCTCTCAAATAAATAAAATCTTAGAAAGGGGGGTGCGCCTGGGTGGCTCAGTTGGTTTAGCCTTCGGCTAGGGTGGTGATCTCAGGGTCCTCGGATTGAGTCCCACATTGGGTCCCTGCTCAACGGGGAGTCCGCTTCTCCCTCTGCCTCTGTCTCCTCTCCTCTGCTCATGCTCTCTCTCTCTCTCTCAAAGGAATAAATTTGTATAAAATAAATAAAATATATAAATAAATAAATATACATACATATATATATATATTTTTTTTTTTAAAGCACAGATACTAAAATGCTCCTGGGAAGAGAAATTAGGACCCCAGAAGGGACAGAACATGAGCCTTGAGATTACAGAGGAGGAGAAAGGCCCTCCAAGTGGGAATCTGGGAAGCCTTCCTGAAGGAGGAGTTAGTTTAATTAGTCCATAATGATAACGAGGCTAGTTCCCCCTTTGACGGCTAGCATCCGTGCATCAAGCCGCCTCTTCCTCCTCCCTTGGCTGCCCGTCCGTCTATTCATCCGCTAATCTACCCACCCACCCGTCCGTCCTTAGGCACATACATATATTTAACACTTACTGAGGACCTACTCTGTGCCGGCCACTGGGGAAAGAGCAGTACGTGATTAAACTCAGCATGGTCGGACCTGCTTCCTCAGCGACTCACTATACACCATTTCACAAGGTATCTAAGCTGCCCTGTGCCTCAGTTTCCCCACCTTTAAAATGGCCATAGAGACGTACCTATGTGGGAGGATGTTGTGAGAATAGGGTGCACGCACACCAGTGAGGCACCAGGGCCTGCAGAGTCAGGTCCGCAGACCACGAGGGCACCCCCTCTCCTGTAACCATGACTACGGCCCTGGCGTCCCCGTTTTGCACTGGAGAAAGCCCAGGCACAGAGATGGAGAGCCCCTTGTCAAGGCCTGGGAGTCAGGAAGGCGTGGAGCAGGGATGTGAACCTGGGTCTCGCCCTCTGGGGCCAGGCCTTGCTGAGCCTCTGCCGTCTAGGTGCTGTGTGCGCTGGGCAGGAGGTGGGCCCTTGGAGGCACAAGGAAGGGAAGAGGGAACTGCATTGACAGTGGCTCTGGGGATGGGCAGGGGAGGTGGTGGGCGCTTGTTTGGGGGTGTAGCAGGGGATGAATGTGAGCAGTGGGGAGGAGGAGATGGGGCTTCAGGGGAGGAGGGCCGGGCTTGCCTCAGTATCTGGGCCCCGACGTGTGGCACCCCCAGCTTTTACTGTCCCCACATGCCACCTGTCCTGGCCTTGCCCCCTGCAGCCGAGGCTCTCGGGTCCCTAGGGGCTGGGGGGTAGGGCATGGGAGTCAGGAGGCTTCCCATTTCCTGGTGGAAGCCCCTGGTCCTGTTTGTATCCAAGAAACAGAGAGAGCACGAGGGAAACAAATGGAGACAGGCGGGGAGAGGCACGGAGAGAGGCAGCCAGATGGTGGGCGAGGCTCTCCCGGCCCCCAGCGCACGCCCTGCCACATCCGGGACCCACCGCGGCCCAGATGCAGAGTCCAGTGCTGCCAGCCACCCAGGGGCCCAGCGGTGCCCGCCCCCGCCCCGCCTCACCTGGTCATGAGGTCCCTTCTTCTCCAGAAAGCTCTCATAGTAGTGTGAGGGTAGAGCACCCTTGGCTTTGGGGACCCGGGGTGGGCTTAGGGCTGAGGCCATGGTGGCCGGGGCTTTGGCCTGGCCTCTCCCTCCAGTGGGTGCCCCAGCTGGGCGGGGAAGCAGAGAAACAGGTTCCAGGGGAATTTCCTCTTCTGTCTGCCAGCTCTGGGTGGGTGCTGGGGCGGGCTTGTCCTCCGGGAATCCCAGCCTCTCTGGTCTCCCCCAGAAGTCTGGGAAGCCTGCTGGAGTCACGGAAGAGGAAGCCACCAGGAGGCTTTCAGGGCAGAGCAAGGGCTGGGCAGAGGGTTCACTGGGAGGAGGGACCTGCCTCAGCAAAGGTGCAGACGTGAGAAAGGGAGACACCAGGTGCCAAAGAGGCAAGGGCCGTATCAAGGGAGGTCACAACAGGAAGGAGCTTGGGCCCCGAGTGCCCCTGAGGCTGCCCGTACTTTAGACCATCCTGGCCTAGACCTACCAGGAGACCCACTGGGATTTTGATAGTGTGTCAGTCGGGGAAGACCTGACATCTTGACTATGTTGAGTCTTTTTTTTTTTTAATAGATTTTTTTAAAAGATTTATTTATTTATTTATTTATGATAGACATAGAGAGAGAGAGAGGCAAGACACAGGAGGAGGGAGAAGCAGGCTCCATGCAGGGAGCCCGACGTGGGACTCGATCCCGGGACTCCAGAATTGCACCCTGGGCCAAAGGCAGGCGCCAAACCGCTGAGCCACCCAGGGATCCCAGATTTTATTTTTAAATAATCTCTACATCCAACGTGGGGCTGGAACCTACAACCGTGAGATCAAGAGCCACTCACCACGCTGACCCGCCCCTATGATGGTCCATCTTATCCATGGACATGGTCTGTCTCTTCGTTTATTTAAATCTTTGATTTCGCTCATCAGCACAGTATACTTTTCTCATATGCGTCCTGTACCTGTTTTGTTAGACTTACATCTAAGCATTTCTTTTCTCTTTTCCTTTTTTTTTTTGAGCAGTTTAAATGGCAATGCACTTTTTGTTCCAGATTTCACTGCTAGTAGGTTTCACAGTCGTGCAGTTGATTTTTTTTTTTTTAGGTATACATTTAAAAAAATTTTTTTAAAGTAACCTCTACACCCAGTGTGTTTCTCAAACCTATAATCCTGGGATCAAGAGTCACTTGCTTCACCAACTGAGCCAGCCAGGTGCCTCTATCTATCTATCTATCTATCTATCTATCTATCATCTATCTATCTATCTATCATTTATTATTTTAAAAAAAGATTTTATTTATTTATTAGGGAGAGATAACATAAATAGGCAGAGCAGTAGGCAGAAGGAGATGGAGAAGCAGACTCCCTATTGAGCAGAGAGCCTGACACGGGGCTCAATCCTGGCTGAGATCATGGCCTGAGCCAAAGGCAGAAGCCCAGTCAATTGAGCTACACAGGTGCCCCCATATGAAAAGTTTTTATTTAAGGGGTACCTGGCTGGCTCAGTCAGTAGAGGATGCAACTCTTGATCATACGGTGAGTTTGAGCCCCACACCCCTTGAGGGGGCAGTAGATTGTACTTTAAAAAATCTTTAGGGGATCCCTGGGTGGCGCAGCGGTTTGGCGCCTACCTTTGGCCCAGGGCGCGATCCTGGAGACCCGGGATCGAATCCCACGTCGGGCTCCCGGTGCATGGAGCCTGCTTCTCCCTCTGCCTGTGTCTCTGCCTCTTTCTCTCTGTCTCAGTGACTATCATAAATAAATTAAAAAAAAATCTTTAAAGTTTTGGGCAGCCCCGGTGGCATAAAGTTTTGTTTAAATTCCAGCTAAATGCACGTTATATTGGTTTCAGGTGTACAAGATAGCAGCTCAACACTTCCATACAACACCCAGTTCTCAACAAGTGCACTCCTTAATCCCCATCACCTATTTCCCCCACCTCCCCTGTGTTCTCTATGATTAAGAGTCTGTTGAGTCTGTTTCTTGGTTTCCTCTCTCTCTCTCCTCTCTCTCTCTCTCAATGTCATCTATGGATCAATTGCTTCCAAACTCCCAGTACTGTTAATATTTTGCCCTCTTCCCATGAGCCACACCATAAGCATATAATAATAATGGAAAAGCTTGCAATATTATGAGAATTACCAAAATGTGACACCGAGACACAAAGTGAGCAAATGGTGTTGGAAAAATCGTGCTGCATGATTGTCATAAACCTTCAATTTAGTTTTTAAAAATGCGAAGCAGGGATCCCTGGGTGGCGCAGTGGTTTAGCGCCGGTCTTTGGCCCGGGGCGCGATCCTGGAGACCCGGGATCGAATCCCACGTCAGGCCCCCGGTGCATGGAGCCTGCTTCTCCCTCTGCCTGTGTCTCTGCCTCTCTCTCTCTCTCTGTGACTGTCATAAAAAAAAAAAAAAATTAAAAATGCGAAGCACATTAGCACGAGGTATTCCTGTACATTTCTTGGCATTTTCCATGTAGACCATCATATCAACTGAAAATAGGGCTGGTTTTCTGTCTTTCTTTCAAATTTGTATGCCTTTCATTTCCTTTTCTTCCCTTATTGCAATGGCTAGACTGTGTCGGTTACGGGTGCCCTGTTCCCTCTGCTATGGGGGAAAATGTTTAGTCTTTCACCATTAAGTAAAATGTTAACTGAAGATTCATGGATTTTCTTCAGCAAGTTGAGGTGGTCTCTGTCTCTTTCTAGTTTGCTAAGAGTTTGTATCATGCGTGGGTGTTGAATTTTGTCAAATGCTTTCCCTGAATCGATTGAAATGCTCTTTCGACCTTTCATCCTTAGTTTGTGTGTTAGTTTTCTGTGACTGCTCTGGGCAAATTATTGTATATGTAAAGGCTTAAACAATACAGATATGTTACCCTACAGCTCTGTAGAAGTTGTATACGGATCTCACAAAACTGATATCAAAGTGTTGGCAGGCAGGGCTGCATTCCTTTCTGAAAGTTCAAAAGATGAATGTATTTCCCTGCCTTTTCCAGCTTCTAGAAGCTTCTTGCATTCCTTGGCCCATGGTCCCCTTCCTCCTTCTACAAGACCAGAAATGCAGGTACAATCCTTACATCATATCACTCTGAATTTTTTCCGCTGTCACTTCTCTCTTCTGCGTCTAGGAAACTGTGATCACATTGGATTCACACAAATAATCCAGGATAATTTCTTTCAAGTCAGTTGATTAGCAATTTAAATTTCATCTGCACCTTAAATCCCCTTTGCCACATAGCCTAACATATTCACAGGTCCTGGGGATTAGGATATGAACATTTTTTAAAAAGATTTTATTTATTTATCCGTGAGAAACGAGAGAGAGAAGAGAGAGAGAGAGAGAGAGAGAGAGAGAGGCAGAGACCCAGGCAGAGGGAGATCCTATGGGACTCCAGGATCATGCCCTGAGCTGCAGGCAGACGTTTTAACCCGCTGAGCCGCCCAGGATGTGAACATCTTTAGGGAATCATTACTCTACCTACCACAGCTTGTTAAATATGATAGATAACATTGATTCTTGAATACTGAACCAGCTCTGCATCCCTGGAGTAATCTCCCCCTCCATCAGGTGTGTAATTATGTTTATATGATGCCAAATTCTATTTCCTAATATTCTGTTAAGGATTTGTTGCATCTGTTCACAAAGAATATGGTCTATAGTTTTCTTTTTTTCCTTCTTTCTCTTCTCTTTTCTTCTTCCTCTTTTTTTTTTTTTTTTATATTACCCTTATCGGGGTAATGCTAGCTTCGTAAAATGAATTGGGAAGTGTTCTCTCCTCCTCAACTTTCTGGAAGAGATTATTTATTTTGAAATTATTTACTTTTTTATTTGAGAGAGAGAGAGAGAGCAGAGAGAGCACACAAGTGGTGGGAAGGGACTTGACCCCAGGACCCTGAGATCGTGACCTGAGCCAAAACCAGATGCTTAACCAATTGGGCCACCCAGGCGCCATTGGAAGAGATTATTTTAATTAATTAATTAATTGATTGATTAATTTATTTGGAAGAGATTATTTTAAAATGGTGTTAATTTCTTCTTTGAAACTTTGGTACAAATCTCCATCCTGCCTTGGAGATTTCTTTTGGAGGAGTTTTAAAATTACAAATTCCATTTCCTTACTTGCTATAGGGCTGCCTGGACTTTATACACATAGCAAAAAATAGCCTTTGGAATCCATTAAAGGGGTGTGTCACTTGGCAACGTCTTCACCTGATGAGCTCTTATAAACTTGATAACAATACCTGCCATAAAGGGGCGCCATAAATGGTTAGTGAGATCACAGCAATTTATTTTGACTTTATTTACCAAAGGCAATGGGGAGCCATTTAAGGATTTAGAGCAGGGGAGGGAGGCGGTCACAGTCGCATTTTCGTAAGATCCCTCTGGGGTGGTGGTGGAGACGGATAAGGAAGATGGAGAGTATGGAGATCTGAGGCCCAAGGCTACGACCAGGGTCCAGCTGGGAGAGGGTCCAGCTGGGAGAGGCCGGAGGTCTGGCCCAGGGTTTTGGGAACAGAGTCAAAGAGAATAGGAGCAAGGACATGGAATAAACTGAGGTCGGAGCCTGGGGGTACTGGGAATGCCCGGTTGGTGGCTGGACCTGCGGTGGGAGGTGGGGGTGGTGTGGGGAAACGTGGGGAGGCATGGGGTTGACAAAAATTTGTCCAGCTCTTATTTTATTATTTTTAAAATTTCATTATCATTTTTAAAAAGACTTTATTTATTTGAGAGAGAGGGAGACGAAGCATGAGCAGGGGGAAGGGACAGAGGGAGAGGGAGAAGCAGGCCCTCTGCTAACGGGGCCTGATGAGGGGCTCAATCCAGGAGCCGGGGATCATGACCTGAGCTGAAGTCAGAGCCTTAACCAAAGGAGCCACCCAGGCGCCCGCAGCTCTTCTTTCATTAGATGTCGAGCCCTGTTCTCCAACAACCCCGACGTAGATATTATTATTGTCCCAATGGTGAAACACAGAGAGCCACATGGGCAGTCCCCGGGTCCGGTGGGACTCCAGACCACGCTCCCCGCACATCCCGGCCCCCACCCCAAGGTCCTGTCCCCCCTTGCAGACCGGCCGAGCAACCCCGCCCGCGGCTGAGCCCACCCTGGGCTCCCCGCAGCCTGGGGAGCCTCCACCCCGGGCTTCCCGCCCCGCCGGAGGCTGGGGACTCTCCGTCCAGGGAAGTGTCGCTGCGCCCCGGGCCAAAGGTCCCGGGACAGGGACCGGGGACAAAGGACAGGGCTGCAGCTGCCCAGCGACCTGCCGGCGCGGCTCCGCCCACGAGCACCCCGCG